GTTATATCTGATCAAATGCACATTATTATTCTTTAGTTTGGGTTAAACAAATCAATTTTGCTTGGTTGGAACAGCAGCTACGCTAATTACGTCTCTATTTGTTTCTCTGTTTTTGCCTAGGATTTTACACAAGCTTCAGTCTGGATCCAGAACACCTGAGAAGAGATGATGTCAACCCCTCAGATGACCTCAGATGATGCCAACCCTGAAACAACTTACAGAACTACCACATTTTGCTATAAGTTTGATTGCATCATATAATAATTGCTGTTAATAGTGTTCATCATCTGTTTGATTACGTCTTTAATTGATTTTTCCGTACATTTCTGCCATATGTACATTAACTGACAGTCACCACTGATAAGCTACCGCTAAATATTGTAGAAACTTAATTTGCTGTAAAGTTGCTTTGCAACGAATTGTATCGTGAAAAGCGCTATACAAATAAACTTGAATTGAATTGAAAGTGCTTTTCTATGTGACAAAAATGCAACATTATGTTTGTTGCATTTGTCGTGAATTCAGTAATATCTATCGTTTCTGTCCTGTTTTATTTATTTACTCCAATTGAAGGCCCTATGACCCATCACAACATTCAAGGGAGAATTTGTGGGAACGTTATTTTACGATCGCAACTCATAACCCCCCCCCGAACGTGATTTTGAGGGGGCCTCATAGCAAATTCAGTGCACAAGGCCCAGAATTCCTAGCGACGGCCCTGCGTGTGAGTGTAAAAAAGACTTCAAAAACACTACATTTCAATTGAAAATGACTTTAAATTCTAAAAAAAACTTCAAATCATATGATAGATCTTCTCATTCTAAACAACTTTGCCTTTGCGACTGAAAACTACTGCGTGCGACTATGAAATAATATTTAGGAGCACCAGTGCGACTGACCCGATCAGCATATTTGTGTTTGCGCTGAGGGAGCTGCAAAGGTTCTAACGTACTTACGTGTTTCTGCAGCGTTGAGTAATGTAACACAGATGTATCTCATTATAACAAACAAAGTGTCGATGGTATAAATAAGAGATTCATTGTGCAGTGTAGGGAGCTTCGTCGATTATAATGGAGTTTTGTGAAATCGCGATGAACTAAGATGAGTGACAGCTTTTAATGATTATTAAGGGAGTTTGCAAATGTGATATTGATTTAATACAACAGTTAATTAAACAAGAAGTTAATATTAAGTGATTTATATTGTCTGACAACAACACAATTGCCTTATTTGGCTCTATTTCCTCAACTAAAATAGTTTCAAACAAAGTAACAGCTGAGCCGCTGCGCATCTCCATTCAAACACAGCAGTGATTCGTTTATGAATGAACTGCGTTTTTAAACGAATCTAGCGAGTCAGTGATTCAATTACCCATTCATAAAGACAGTCACGTACTTCGTTCCTGAACCTTCAATACTTTACAGATCAAGTCTGTTAGGTGGTTTACTGTTTCTGACTGGAAATCTTCTCACATGCAGCAATAGCTGGTTCCACAAGTTTGGTTACATGCTGGTCTAGAGAATTTGGTTCGGTGTCATTGTATGTTAACGACAGTTCTTGTCCCTTATCATCTAGTGTTTGTGACATCCTATTTCCTACTGGTAGTGATTCTGTGGTTTTTGTGATTTCTGGATGACAGTCTAACATTTGATCTGCATGTCTTTTCCAGCTTTGTGCATTGTCTACCTGAACTGTGTACAACACTGGTCCTGACTGCGAAGAAATAGTACCAGCTTTCCATTTCTCCTCCCCCCGTCGATAATCTCTGACTAGCACTGAATCACCAACATGAAAGTCTCTGTCTTTTGCATGGAAGGAACGGTTAGAACATTGAACTTTTTGTGCATGCTCCACAGTCAGTTTCACACTTGGTTTCAGTAGATCCAGCCGTGTCCTCAATCTGTGATGCAAGAACAACATAGCAGGTGTTTCTTTTGTTGTGCTATGTGGTGTATTATTCTGTTGTTTTAATTAGAAATGTTAAAAAGTTTATAAATATATATTTTTTGAATTTGACAAAAGATGACATACTTTTAATAAAGTTAGAAAAATGCCATTACAAAGATAAAACAAAATTCCCTGTAAATCACTTTAAGGATTCAAATATCACCTCGTAATGGGAAGGTTAATTTTTTATCAGAATTTTTTATTACTGATTAGAAGGTGCTCCTAAATTTTTGACCGTCAGAAAATATCCAAACTCCTCTGAAGTAAATTGTGGGCCACTGTCGCTAACTAGGGTCTCAGGTATACCGTAGCGACTAAATAGACCACGCAGAACTTGAATCGTCTTGGATGACGTTGTCGAATCCATCACATGAACTTCTGGCCATTTCGAGTGTGCGTCAACAACTACCAGAAACATTCGTCCCTCAAATGGTCCCGCGAAGTCGATGTGAATCCGCTGCCAAGGGGCTTCTGGCCATGACCAGGGGTGTAAAGATGAGAGACATGGAGATTTTTGATAGAAGGTGCTCCTAAATTTTTGACCGTTCTCCTAAATCTTTTAAATTAGGAGCACAAGCGCTCCTAAAAAGAAAAGTATGCGTAGAGCCCTGTAGTCCTAGTTTTTTCGATCAATCGCAACAAAACCACTGCAGTACAATTCTTGTAACCCTCTAGATCCATAATTATCAAAAAAATATTGAACTTTACACTTTGGTAAGCTACAACAGCGTAACTTTTAAAGGGACGAGGCCAATTATACCCAAAAGCCTATAAATCCTAAAGAAAAACTCAAAACTTCATGAAACTTGGTGAGCATATGCGATTCGCTGATGTACACCTGCATTTTATATTTTAAAAAGTTTTATATATATCAGTTTTTATATATTATATAGCATATTTTAGTCCCCACTCCAAGGGCTCTGTCCTTCAAAGGCATAGGGATGATCCCGTCCATTTGGAATTTGCCCCGTGAACCGTACAGTACGAATACGTGTACCGTTACACCCCTAATAAAAATGTTTTCTTGTAGGCCTGTTTTATTTTATGCTTCTATATTTATTCATGATAAACTTCATTCAAATGCTGTCTAGATGAAGTTGCACGCACAGTCTGTAGCATATACCTATGGTAAATATAACAATTTCTAAATTACACTTTTATCATTCTTAATTCAAAATAAAATATCAATTTATCCATTTCTGATAATCCCAGGATGCTATGGTCACACAGGTTTGTTTATGCATTAAACTCGTGGTTCCCATGAGTTAATATGTCATGGCCATGACAAAACTAAGTGAACTGAACATGTCCACTCCTGGTCACCGTACATTAGATCAAGTATGTGTGCATGTGAACATCAGAGTTTGAAATTTCTACACACAGATCATGCAGATGCTGTTTTATCAGTGATGATCTTTACACTGCTGTGTGAAAAGATTGTGCTAAAATGAAATTCTGTATAAAATTATTAAATACATCTCTCACTGATATTATATTCTAGTGTTAAAGATGATTGTTCTATGCACAGGAAATGCACCAGAAAACTAGCACAGGTCTTGAGTTCTGTCTCTTTAATAAACACTGTGTAGAAACTTTTATGCTGTAATTTCATTTTGGGGTGCTTTGTCACTTTGTCACAGTATGTGGTTATATGAAAATATAGGCCAATGGAGTGATTTTTTAAAAAGTTTATAATAACCAAAGACAGAAACACACTGAAGACTGAAATATTCTGAGAAACTCTGAAGGAAGTCTAAACATTAAGCAGTTTGAGCTGAATTCACTTCAGAAAAAAAAGAATGAATGAGGAAGAATGTGATCATTATTACACTGACTGGAGTGACTCACCTCTGACAGAAACGAAGAACGTTTGGCACAAGGGTTTTCTGCCTCTTCTGATCTTCAGAGTGTAGACTCCAGCGTGTGCAGCTGTGATGTTCCTGATGGTCAGTGAGCCTGTCTCAATGTCCAGCTCCAGTATGTCTCTGAACATAATGATCGTTCTGGTCTCTCCTTTGATTTGAGCTATGAGAGTGTCTTCAGCTCCAAACAGCCACTGTATCTTATCACCTGTCTGTTTTTTCTTATCAGGATTTAGAGTGACAGATTGTCCCTCCATCACCGCTATCTCCCTCTCTTCATGCGTGAGAACAGTGCATAGAAAGACAAAAATACACAGATGCCATTAGATCAAGCATGTGTGCATGTGAACAACAGAGTTTTAAATTTCAACACACAGATCATGCAGATGCTGTTTTATCAGTGATGATCGTTACACTGCTGTGTGAAAGGTTTGTGCTGAAAATGAAATTCTGTATAAAAACATTATTAAATACATCTCTCACTGACATTATCCTCTAATGTTAAAGATGATTGTTCTATGCACAGGAAATGCACCAGAAAACCAGCACAGGTCTTGAGCTCTGTCTCTTCAACAAACACTGTGTAAAAACCTTTATGCTGTAATTTCATTTTTGGGTGCTTTGTCACTTTATCACAGTATGTGATTATATGACAATATAAGCCAATGATTGATTTTTTTTTTAAATAAAGTTTATAATAACCAAATACAGAAACACACTGAAGACTGAAATGATCTGAGAGACTCTGAAGGGAGTCTAAACAATAAGCAGTTTGAGCTGAATTCACTTCAGAAAAAAAATTAATAGGAAGAATGTGATCATTATTACATTGACTGGAGTTACTTACGTTTGACATGAAGGACCAATTTATTGTATGAAGTTTCACTGCCTCTTTTAAACTTCAGAGTGTAGAGTCCAATGTGTTCAGTTGTGGTGTTTGTGATGGTCAGTGAGCCAGTCTCCTTGTCCAGCTTCAGTCTGTCTCTGAATATCCCATCAGGACCATCAGGTGTATACATCTTTATGGTCTCTCCTTTGATTTCAGCTATGAGTGAGTCTTCATTTCTAAACTGCCACTGTATCTCATCACCTGTCTGCATTTTAATTCCAGAGTTTAGAGTGGCAGATTCTCCCTCCATCACTGACACCACTCTCACTTCATGGAACAGCAGCACATAGAAATAAAGAAATTAGATTATTATTGAGTTTGCAAATGAATATGTCAGTATCATTTAAGGGCAAGAGGATATTTTGTGATTCTTCATATGTAGTTTTAATAATCACTTCATCTTCTGGATGACGTTTACACAAAGATCGGTAACAATTTGCAATAATGTTGCATGTGTTAACATGAACTACCCAGTAAAAAAATCATTTACCACTGAAAAATCATGTTTTAGTCAAAGAAAAAAACTTGTTTTTGAACTGCTCATTCGGCTATATACTAATTAACATATTTTTTAAAGGGGTCATATGATGCGATTTCAATTTTTCCTTTCTCTTTGGAGTGTTGACCTTCCAAAAGAGGACGAAATCCGCTTTGTCATGCCTGGAGCTGATCCGTGTTGGTCTCTGAGGAAATGCATCAGCTTCGCGCTGCCGATCGCCGGATCGGCTTTCACCGAGGACGAAGCGGAGTCCAGCCCAGCATCATATGACCCCTTTAAGTATACACTTGCTTTGTTAGAACAGCACTGCATTTTTTAATTTATAAGAGCCATTTGTCTGCAATGCATCACATCTGCGACACTTTTAACAAATCTGTGTTTGCACAGACATGACATACATAATTTACCTAAATATAACATCCTGTCATTATATAGCCTACTCATCCTCATATACGTCCAAATGAATGACTAGATTTTGAAAAATCTTCATGCAGCTCTTTTTCATATAATGACAATTTATAGAGGCTTTCACAAAATGACATTAAAGTGCCCCTATTATGGGTTATGAAAGGTTCATATTTTGGTTTTGGGAGTCCCTAACAACAGGTTGACATGCATGCAAGGTCAAAAAACACTTTTATTGTCTTATAATATGCATTTATTTTTTCCTTTTTTGCTCAACTCCCAAACGGTTCGCTCAATTATTCATTTTTCCAAACCCCGCCTTTGTGTGACGCTAAACTGCGGTGATTGGTCTGATGACCCAGTCTGTTGTGATTGGTCTACTGTGTGCAGCGCATGTCAATAACAGAACACCCATCACATTAGCCCACAGCTCGGTGGTAAAGACCCAAACAGCCATGGTATATGTGTTAGCCCAATGCAGAAACATATTGATAAAGCACTGCAGTTTATGCATTAACGTATTGCTCTATTCTTTATCAGAACTCCAAGTAATAACAACAACAAATATTCACTATTCATCGACACATTTCTAGACAATTGCGAGCAAACAGATATTGCTTTTAGCCGGTTAGACGGAGACCTACAAGCTGCGCGGAGCAAACACAACACACACAACTAAATACGTATTTTGCATGCTATAGTACAGAGTACATGACAGCAACAGTTTATAAAAGAATTACTCCACTTTCAGAATAAACATTTCCTGATAATTTACTCACCCCCATGTCATCCAAGAAGTTCATGTCTCTCTTCAGTCGCAAATAATTTAAGGTTTTTGAGGTAAACGTGCCAGTATTTTTCTCCATATAGTGGACTTCAGTGGTGATAAACGGATTGAAGGTTAAAAATGCAGTTTCAATGCAGCTTCAAAGGGCTTGTCTAGCTCTGCGAGGCGCATGCATACTCTGTGTACAACGGTTCAAGACAGGGTATGTCTAAAAACTCCCAATACTTTTCTCTTTCAACTTCAAAATCGTTGTTTTACCTTTTTTCTTTTTTTGTAAAGGGTGTTTGACCCTCCTTGCACGTTCACTTTGTAAACACTGGGTCGGTGCTTCTGCAGCGATATAGGATGATTTTGAAGTTGGAGGAGAAAATGAGTTAGGAGTTTTTCAACATACTCTAACGGATTTACCCTCAAAGTGCAGAGCACAGTGTCCTATCCACAGGAATCTGCTACGGTGTTTGAGGGAGGGGAGGTTCAAGTTTTCCTGGGTCTGCGTGCGCAACAAGTGGGCGGGCATAAATATGCTAATGTTTAATGTGGTTTACGTCAACTTGAAACAGCTTAAGTTTCGTTTTAAAAATGACTCGTTTTCATGACTCGGAGTTGACTCTTTTTTTTGAAAGACATGTTTTCATTCACCTAGAGCTGTGTTACACACTGCATGAAAGGTAATTTTCAAAAATCACAACCATGACATGTCAACACCATCTTCCAGTTACTGAGGAAATTATTTTAAATGTTTAGATCATTTTATTCTCCTGAAGCAGGTTCTATTAGTATCTAGCATCAACAGAGAAAACAAAATGGCTACTACATGAACTCCATTTGTTTTGTGAAAGAAATGCCAAATTTGTCAACACCGTCAGATGTCAACAAGGTAAGATTTTCAAGAAGTTCACATTCAACATGAAGTCATCATATTTTTGTGGTTTTCAAGTCATTTTTAATTATATTAAATATAAAATAGTGTTTAATTTTTCTAATAATGTATAAATACTAAATATACAGCATATATTGCTTTTGTGGATTGATAGTCATCACTTCTAGCAGAGTTAGTGTTGAGGGAACATAAGATTCAGGGAACATAAGGTTGAGGGAACACATAAGACTGGATAAAACATATACATATTACAGTTAGTTTGTATTCTGATCATATGTGTTCTGATCATTTTTGGATCATTTGTTAAGATGTTTAAATGTGAATATTAAGATCCTAGTGAATGTAAATGGATAGAGGTAACAACTAATTTTTTTAATTGTTCATTTAACTGATTTTAAAAGTTACCATGTTACCATAGCCGATGCACAGCAGACATACTGTTCTGAGATGAGAGAAAATAGATAATTTGTTTCCAATGATATAACAAAATACTTAAATGTGAATCTTGAATAAAAGCTTTATAAACAATAACATACTCACTGTTTGTTGAGTTTGTTTTAATACAGCAATTAACTGATTCAATGTATTTGATAGTTAAAATGACTACAAATTCAGGTTTTTGTCACCACCGTCAGATGTATCAACACTGTCAGGTCTATGTCACCTCACCATTTTTATAATATTTTATTATGATATTTTATATTTGTTGAGGAATTGTTGGTCACATGTGAAAATATAATCTGTCTGCTAACATGAGAATGTGTTTTGAAATGTTAAAAAATCTTGATTGCTTGATTGCAAATTAATTGATGGCAAGGTAAAAAGCACATTTTGATAAAAAAAAGAGAAAAGTTGGGAGATTTAATCAAATCATAGCTCAGTAGCTTAGTATATGTAAGATACAAAAATATAGTTTCAATTGTCTGAGTACAACGTTTTATTTTTTCAATAATGCACTGTTTTGTCCCAATTCTCAAGAATCAGTGATGTGTGAGGTGCTATGAAAGACTCATGCAGTCCAGATAAAACTCAAGATGAAAGACCAAAGGACGGCAGGACTATGATTTTAGGCCAGTTTCTAATAAATATCTTAAACTTCAATAGAATAACAAAACTACATGAACACAAACAGACATAATCAAACACCTTAAACTCAGTATTTTAGAGAGACTGAGATTCAGCAATTAGTATATTAATGTAAATCAGCTCAATGCTAGACAATCACAAACTTCATTAATTACTGCATAAATTACAAGCAGAACTTGAGGTTAAAGTAGAAATGTTGAATAAAAATCATACTATACATTTAAACTCTACTGAACCACAATAAAGTTCAATGTTTTTTCTCTTGCTATATCAAAAATATAATCTGTCTGCTAACATGAGAATGTGTTTTGAAATGTTAAAAAATCTTGATTGCTTGATTGCAAATTAATTGATGGCAAGGTAAAAAGCACATTTTGATAAAAAAAAGAGAAAAGTTGGGAGATTTAATCAAATCATAGCTCAGTAGCTTAGTATATGTAAGATACAAAAATATAGTTTCAATTGTCTGAGTACAACGTTTTATTTTTTCAATAATGCACTGTTTTGTCCCAATTCTCAAGAATCAGTGATGTGTGAGGTGCTATGAAAGACTCATGCAGTCCAGATAAAACTCAAGATGAAAGACCAAAGGACGGCAGGACTATGATTTTAGGCCAGTTTCTAATAAATATCTTAAACTTCAATAGAATAACAAAACTACATGAACACAAACAGACATAATCAAACACCTTAAACTCAGTATTTTAGAGAGACTGAGATTCAGCAATTAGTATATTAATGTAAATCAGCTCAATGCTAGACAATCACAAACTTCATTAATTACTGCATAAATTACAAGCAGAACTTGAGGTTAAAGTAGAAATGTTGAATAAAAATCATACTATACATTTAAACTCTACTGAACCACAATAAAGTTCAATGTTTTTTCTCTTGCTATATCAACTGTAATACTTACACAGTTCCATTGGTAGTTTAGTTTTGAGGCGATAGTTAATCACAACAGCAGCAGCAGCAGCAGCCAGAACAGCAACAGCAACAGCAATCACTGCTACAACACCTGAAGACACACCTGGTACTGAAATGATAAAGAGAGACAGTCATTAGTGTGAATGCATGTCTGAAATCTATCAAGCACTAGAAACATCAGCACTATATAACCTGAGTGAAGATCTGATACTGTAATGATAAAAGGAGACAGTCATTAGAGTGAATGTGTGTCTGATATATAACAAGCAATAGAAATACCAGCACTATATGACCATCAGGTAGATCTTAATGATAATTATTATGAGATTAAACTAATTAAATATGTTAATATTGTCATTATAAGCCTGACAATAATCAGTATTTACTACAGATATATTCACAGGTGTCAATAATGTAAGAGAGAAACAGTTTTAGCTAATACAATTATTCACAGACAGCTGATAAACAATCATTACTTCAAAACACTTGAATGCTCACCACTGACAGTTACAGTGAATCTCTTGTATAAAGTCTGTTTGTTGCTGCTGATCTTCGCTTTATAAAGTCCAGAGTCTGTGGTTATGGTTTTTGTGATGATCAGAGATCCAGTCTGATGGTCCAGTTTCAATCTGTCTCTGAATCTCTCATCAAAATATAATGGTGAGCTCTTTTTTATATCATGTTTAGCAATGAGTTTTTCTTCATCTCCAAACCTCCACACTATCAGCTCATCTCCTTGTAGTTGAGGAACATGAAGAGTGACAGGTTCTCCCTCCATCACTGACACGCTCTTCATTTCAGCTTCAGCCCCAGCAATAACAGATGGAGACTCTACAAGAATCAGATTCACAGACAGAGATTAAACTTTAAACACTGTTCCTGGCACTAGAATATCAAGTTTCACAGTCAATTTGTTTATCTTACGGTTACTACATAATACACGTTGAAGCAACATATTCATTTGTTTAAATAGTGTAGTTTTCCTTCAATGCATTTCTTCATTTAAATCAATTGTTTATTTAACATGTATATTTGTGTTGACTGACTCTCTGCTCCCTCCATAGGTAAAGGAGCACAAATGCACAGATGCACAATAATGTTAATGATAGAGCACAGACCAATGATGGGAGCAAGCGGAAACACTTATTGACTGTGTTCGCCTCACACACTCAAGGATGCAAACAACCTGATGGACTGTGGACTATGTTTTCACACCTTACTTTGCCAGTTTTGCATGTGTTTAGTTAGAAATCAACTTTAAACAGAAGCAGTAACATACAGCAATTGCTTGTGTTGATTGAGCATGGGTAAGACAAAGCTGTCTGTGTCTAGTGTGTCTAGCTAGTGAAGTCGGTCTTCACTATAGACTAAAGGTTTGCCATAACAAGGTTATACAGATTAATACAAATCAGCTTGAGATGTACAACAGTTATTCGGTTGACTAATTTGATGAGTCGTCTTATTTCATATAACGCACAGGATCTTTTCACTGTTTGAATCACTGCACTTATCCGAGTTCAACAGATAGAATTACAATACCTAATTCTATACACCAGTTGACTCTGCTTTGAATTATTTCAATACTATTACCGTTGGAATTAAACTAAAAATATCTGGCCACTTTAAATCTCATCATAATTCAGTTTAATTAACAACACACAAAGAAACAGAAAAAAATTCAAATTATTAAAAAAATAAATATATCCTCACCATAGATAGTAACACTGAATGTCTGCTTATCTGGGGTCCCTTTGCTGTGTTCAATCTGTAGTTTATAGAGTCCAGAGTGTTTGGTTCTCATGTTCTTGATGGTCAGAGATCCAGTCTGATCCAGCTGCAGTCTGTCTGTGAATATCTCAGTGTGATTAGGATATGAGATATCATTTCCGTCGATTTGAGCAATGGTGGAACCTTTCTCTCCAAACCTCCAAAGTATCAGAATAAATTCCTGCATTTTAGCAGGATCAGGGTTCAGAGTGACAGAATCTCCCTCCATCACTGACTTCACTTCATCTGCATCAGCACCAAACACACCTGGAGAATAAACAGAAACTGTTTCTCAGAGATTAATCTCATATAGGCACTGCAGGTAACGTTAGTGAAGAGATAACTGTGATCAGTCTTGTCTAAAAATACAATGTGACTTATTGAAGCGCACTTATTATGCTCATTTACAGGTTCATAATTTCCGTTATGGGGTCTGCTACAAGTCTTCTAATAGGTTTACATGATTTAATGTTCAAAAGGTTTAATTTCCAGTCTGATACTGCCGGCCTGGTGCTGCTGTCCTGAAACTGCTGTCACAAAGGAAAGTGTGTCCAGCTGAATGAATTTAGTATTTTGTTAGACGGGTATAAAAAAGCTTAGTTTACCGCGGCAGCCGTCGCGTGACGGCCTCCTCGTGTGAAGACCGAAGAGTGTAAAGACCATCGACTCTACCGTGCGACTCCACCGGGCAGGGACAAGGATAAGTATTGCTTTTTATTTCTCCTCTTTCCTATTACTTGTTTCACTTCTGTTTCAGTTTTTATAACCATTTCTTACTATGTGTAAGTAAGTTGTTGTTTTGAAGCATGTACTGTAAGTTTGGCAGTGTTATTTTTTAGGATTACTGATAAACTACTGTCATTTGATTTGTATTTGTTATTTATTTTAATTTTAGTTAAATTATGTCTGAATTTATTATGTCTGTATAGGTCTTTTATTAAGTTTTACTTTTAATTTAATTTGAGTTATTTTAATACTTCAACAAACTAAATGGAAATGAAATAATATATATATTGAATTTATAAATGTGTATGTACATATACAGTA